GAGTATGGAAATAAGGAAAATCTATGGAAGAAATAAATCTTTGCTACTTTCTGCTCCAGCACTTACAGTATCCTCTATGGGAGTGGTGGTGTCAACCCTGTGCTGATAGTAGAGATCAATGTATTCCACATCAAGGCGCTTCAGGCTAGCCTCAACAGAGGCACGGACATATTCAGGAGTACCATTTGCTATGACACCAGCAGCATCCATTTTTGCAATACCAAATTTTGTGCCTAACTGCACCTTCTCTTGCGGTAGCTGCTTCAATGCCTGCAAAAAAAATTGGTTTTACAGATTCATGAATCCCTTTGACAAGTCAAGAACAATGCATTCCCATTTAAAAGCAAAATCAGGAAGCTGTTGCTATTCAACTTGAAAGTACTCTAGACAATTTGACCAAGCATGTTACCTTTCCAACCAGTATTTCATTAGTTTTGGGTCCATAGATATCTGATGTATCGAAGAAAGTAACTCCTCTATCGAAAGCGTGCTTGATGATCGATATGCCAACATCATCAGGGAGAGGATCATTGTAGGCTCCAGAAAGTCCCATACAGCCAAACCCTAACTTGGAAACCTACAGACACAGTGGATTTTACAACAGAAATGAGACAGGTAGACAAAGAAATCGTGTGGATTTTATTGAAAAGGTTCAATTCTGATTGAGTTAAAAAAAGTTGAATTCCAAATTGTTTTCAAGAGAGTAGAATCAGAATATCCTGTATCTTACATTTTGTACATCAGCAGTTCAACTAAAAACTGAGGAACACTTGTAAAGATTAATAACAGCCCTTCTGTTGACTACTCTTAAGAAGAACAAAATCTAACCTCAAGTCCTTGGTTTCCCAGCTTCACTCTAGGAATCTGGATTCTCTGCGGCTCCTCAGCCATCTTCTGTTCCTTTTTTTATGTTCTTGTGTTATTGAACTGAGGCATCTTTTGTTAGCTTACAGCTCAAAAACCAGTAACGGCTAAGTGTAAAATAGTTGGAGCCTTATGTACAGAATCATGATTTTGAGTTGAATTATCTGTTAACTTGGTGACGCCACTAAACATGTCATAAATATGTCATCCCACATGTCATTCTGTTTGACTACTTTGTTGAAATATTGCAAATTACGTTCCAAGAACTGTCAGTTTCAAAAGTCAAAGAATTAGTCAAAAGTGCAGAATAGATATGTTATCAGATAGAAAGAACCCTGCATTGCCAAGAAATGAGCTGCTATATTTCCTCCTTTTTTCCTTCAAGACCATGTAAGCCAAAAATATTTTTTGCCAAATTTTTCTTCCGGTAGATGCAATGGTTTGTGTTATATGGTTGCAGAAGGTTATTTAGAGAGGAAAAAGAATATCAAGAAGAATTAATCATAGCATTAAATACGGCATATTTATTAATAGCATCTTAAATAGTGCTCTTAAAACTACTATAACCATTGAAAGATTGCGGGCAACTAGGCAAAGACAGAAAAACCAAGAAAGTACATGCATTCAACAGCAATGCTGGCTTCTGCTTTCATTTCAATGAACCCTTGTTTAATGTAAGTTTAGTAACTCGATACAAACTTCTAGTCTTTCAATAGCCTGAGTTGCTGGAGAGTCCATTAACCACAAGCATCGTGTTTTGCTGCAGACTTTACATCCATAATTACTTCCAACTTAAAATCTTGTTCTCCTTCGAGGGTGTATTAGCGAATTTCCATGAGACTTGAGAAAAACTATCCCGCATTCTAGGCCCTGCTACCTCGTTTATGGGAATCATATCAGTGATCTCCTTTAAATCTTCTTCTGTGAGCTTCACTCTTAGAGAATCAATGTTGCTATCTAGATTTTATCTTGGTCGTTCCTACAAGAAAGTGAAATGGAGGGCCAAAAGCCATATTTCTAATGCAACATAACAAACAAGGCAAATTTAGGATATCTGCTGTGATATTTTGAGGCAAATTATGTCAATTCTGCTGTGATGTTGTTGAAATATCTGTATTGACTGCTAATCTAAGAGAATAAAATGGATATTGAAAATACAGAATGTGACTAACCAGGAATAGGTGCTACATCATTCCCTTGATGAAGAACCCCAGGCAAGTGCTAGTTGTGCAGGGGTACACCCAAAGAAACCGCGACCAAGAGGCTGTGGCTGATAGTAGAGAAGCTATACAGCACTTGCAATATCCTCTATTGGTGTATTAGTGTCAACCCTGTGCTGATAGTAGAGATCAATGTATTCCACATCAAGGCGCTTCAGGCTATCCTCGACAGAGGCGCGGACATATTCAGGGGTACCATTTATTAAGACCAGTAGAATCCGTTTTTACAACACCAAACTTTGTGGCTAACTGCACCTTCTCTCGCGGTAGTTGCTTCAATGCCTGGAAAACATTGGTTTTACAGGTTGATGAATTGCTTTTACAAGCCAAGTAAAACAAAATAAATATGTATGAAATCATATCAATGTGATATTTGTTGCCATTCAACTCGAAAGTCTACACAGTAAAACTCTACTGGCAACCATTTCACCTCTCCAACCAATATTTCATTAATTTTGGGTCCATAGATATCTGATGTATAGAAGAAAGTGATTCCTTTATCAAATGCATGCTTGATTATTGATATGCCAACATTATCAGGGACAGGATCATTGTACATTCCAGTAAGCCCCATACGGCCAAACCCCAACTTGGAGACCTGCAATAAAAATGGGGTTTGCAACAGAAATGAGACAGGAAGATACTGTTTTGGGCCTCGAAAATGGTTTCATTCTGATTAACACATGTTGAGTTCAAGAGCAGAACTTGAATATAAACAATGCAACCAAAAGCTGAGGAACAGTTGTAAGAGTTATCAGAAATGAAACCATATTAGCTCATGAACATTGCCATATGCAAACTCAAAAAGAACACCTCCTCTTGACTTTTACCCCAAGTCCTTGAGTTCCAAGTTTCACTCTAGGAATCTGAACTCTCTGCTGCTCCTCAGATATCTTTTCTCCTTTTATTCCCTTTCTGTGTCCTTTTGCTATTGAATCAATGCTTCTCTTATTGTACAGCTGAAAAACCAGTAGCTTAAAGCTATAGGAGACAGATGATATATCCAGAATCTTGATTAGAGTTGACTGTCAACTTGATGATAGGGATACATTCGATTCTTTTGGGGATAGGGAGGGGGCTCTGTCAGTTCAAAGTGGGCAGAGATAGGTAATGCGGTGAGGGAGGACTCTTTGGTGAGGTTTTTATGAGGACTCTTGGTGAGATCTTTTTGTGAGGAGGAAGGAGTGGGAGGGAAAAGGGAAGGGAGGGGATTAAGGAATGGCCAACTCCTCTTTGAGGTGATTACATAACAGCCCGCATGTGTAGGGAGTGGTCGTGAAAGTATGGAGAATGAAACGAGTATAGGAGGAGAAATGGTGGTCCACCAGATTTCCTAAGGCTCTGAGAGGCTGAGAATGAGGGGTCAGAGGAAAAATGACCAGGTTTGACCTTCTTGTTTATGGTTCCTGTTGTTCCAACACGGATGACCACCTTGGGAACCAACTCTGGTTGATCAAAGCAATAATTGTGAGTGGATGGATGCATGGAACTCTGTTATATGATTGGCCAGTTCTCAAGGCCATACAATTGCAAAACCAATGAGGATAACAAATGGCAAGGACTTGACAACGAAGGGTCAAGTGAAGCATAATAGGTCAGGTTGTTTTTGATCAGGGCATGAGGATGATCATCGGATGGTTCTTGGTCACCTAGGATGGCATGCTGTTCCTCTCTCTCCCAACTGCCGAGATAGAGGCTGTGGCTGACTAAGAGGTGCTCCGCTGAGTGATGCTGCAGTTGTCGACTTGTTTGCATGTTATTATAGGGCCTGGGTTGCTCCTCTGGTTACGGTGTGGGGCTATGGCTATTTTTTGTAATTGTTGATGACACCGCCAGATATGTCATCCCCGTACGCAATTCTTTCTATATTTATAAAAATATTGAAATTTTGTTCCCTGAGATGTTAACATCAGACAGAATTAGTCAAAAAAACCAGCATAGTGATGTTATCAGAGAGATCAATCCTGCATTGCCAAGAAATGGGCTCTCTACATTTCCTTTTCATTGTACAATTACAGTTCCGTAACTAACAAGAGCAACTTTAGAAAACTTTGGATTTTCTTGATCAGGCACTTCAATTTTCAACATATAGATTGACAAGGCAATGCTTGGCCAACAAACTTATGCTTAACCTAGATGTTTACAATTTCTTAAATGCTCTCCTCTCATTATAAACTTGTGAGACTTTTTTGTTTCAAATTGAATATTCATATATACACGATATAATTATTATTTTTGAAATGTAATCAAATTTTAAAAAAATCGCAAAAAAATCCACATAAAATTAATATTTCAATTTGGAACAGAAAAAATATTTTATTTTTCTCTAATTTTAAGTCTAATTTGTAATTAACCAAAGCTATGTATAAAGTTACTAGTACATGTATATCATGGGACTGAATTTCAACTATCAAAAATTTTTTTTTCTTTAATTTTACTTTACATGGCAATACATGATTTAGAAACAAATTAGAATTAGTTGTTTACTATTTTGAATCAAATTGAGATACTTATAACATGACAAGTTGACTATTCTATATGAACCATTATCATAAACCCAAATTGTCACCCTTAGGCCTAAGCCATAATGAATTATTAAGGAGGCCCATGCAGCCCTTTGTTAGAGGCAAGACCAAGGGCCTGGAAACAACAACAGAACCCATGAATTTGTTGATGCTGTGAAGTTCACAAGCGGCCGACGAATTTCGGCGGTAAAGTTGACTTCTGCTAATTTAGAGCAGTCGTTGCCCTCATTGAAGACGCAGTTTTGTTGCCGCCTTGAACTGCTTTCTTCAACAAAAACAGCAGCCATGGATAATGGAGAAATCCCAGAAAACGCCAACGAACGTATGTGTTTTTTTTTTTTGCATTTCCTTTATTGGGTTTTATCGATTTTCTTGATTAAGTGGCTCTCTGCTTTTGTTTTTATTAATTTTCCTCAATTTTCCTTCAGATTGCCCGGGTCCTAATTCAGAGACGGCGGGTAAATCCGATGCCTGCGAAGGTTGCCCTAATCAAGAAGTTTGTGCCACTGCCCCTAAGGGCCCTGACCCTGGTTTGCTCTTTCCCCTTTTTACCATTTCTCTACAAAATTTTGTCTTTAGTTTTTTTCTTTTTAAGTTTGTAAAAATGTTTCCTAGATTCTAAGCTTTATTTTTTATTTATAGTTTATGGCTAAAATTTTAGGCTTGTTTTGGATTTCTAGTGAAATTAACAACTTTCTGATAGTACATGAAGCTATATTGAAGAATATATGAGCTAGAACTATTGCCAGAATTGATGTTACAGAATCCATTTTCGGGGCTTTTTAAGTTTATTTTGGAGGAATTTGTTATTATATTTAAATAGAGCTCAGTTATTTGCATATTTGGACTGAGAAGAGAAAGGTTGGAGTCTTCTAGTATACTTTAGTCAAGTGTGGGTTAATTCTTTATTGGATCAAAGTTATGTGTGTTTAGGGAAGATTAATCATGACGGGCTATTGAAGCTTAATTCTTTGTTTCTTGGTGGCATGGTGCTTAATTGGATGATGAAAAAGAGTCTTTGATGATGATGTATATTTATATTAGTAATAAACATTAGAAAACTGTGCTAATGTCTTGTTTAAGAGATTGGAGATTGGAGATTGGCATGACTGCCCCATGTCTGCTAATGAAAGGACCAAGCTGTGATGGTTTTCCAAAATTTGCCTATTATTTGCATCTCTATGCGTAGGGGTCTTGTGAATGTTACAAATGCACTGATTAGGACATAATGCTACGTGCAAAGTTTAATGATCTTTCTATTTGTAAGTCTTTTTCTTTCTGACTGTTTTGACCATGCTTTTCAGTTCTGATTGTCATCCCTTGATTGAACCGAGATGAAGGGGGAGGAGAGGATGTTAATTTGTGCTTGTGTTTCATCAACATTTTCATTTTACTGTATGGAAAGAAGTGAAAATGATACACAGGCCTCCTTCTTATGACATTTTTTTGTTGCCATTCTTCAGCTTTCAATTTTCATAATGATCTACAACAAGAAGTTTGCATATACTTGCCTTAACTGTCAGTGGTTTTCCATTTGTGATGGTGCATCTATCTAATTGTCTTATGTTTTACTACATTTATCTGTCGTGTTAATCTGTTATCTGTCATAATTTTCAATGCATTACATTCTGCAGACTTGGTTGCAATTGTGGAAAGAATGGCTACCGTTAAGCATAAGATATTGATTTTATCAGGGAAGGGAGGAGTTGGCAAAAGCACTTTTTCTGCCCAGCTCTCGTTTGCACTAGCTGCTAAGGAATTCCAGGTGGGTCTCCTGGACATTGATATATGTGGCCCAAGCATTCCAAAGATGCTTGGCCTAGAAGGTCAAGACATTCACCAGAGCAATCTTGGTTGGTCTCCTGTTTATGTTGAATCCAACCTTGGGGTCATGTCGATTGGGTTCATGCTCCCCGACCCCGATGAAGCTGTCATTTGGAGGGGACCGCGTAAAAATGGGCTTATCAAGCAATTCCTTAAGGATGTGTATTGGGGAGAGCTGGATTTTCTGGTTGTTGATGCCCCACCTGGGACCTCTGATGAGCACATCTCAATTGTCCAATTCCTTCAGGCTACTGGAATAGATGGAGCAATCATCGTCACTACGCCTCAGCAAGTCTCTTTGATCGATGTGCGGAAAGAAGTTAATTTCTGCAAAAAAGTTGGAGTACCAGTTCTTGGGGTTGTTGAGAACATGAGTGGCTTGTGTCAACCATTGACGGATTTCAGGTTTTTGAGGATGACGGAGACTGGTGAACACACAGATGTCACGGAGAAGGTCATCAAGTATATGAGGGAGAAAGCACCAGAAATGGTAGATGTCATTGCTGCCAGTGAAGTCTTTGATAGCAGCGGTGGTGGTGCAGCAAAAATGTGTCGAGAGATGGGAGTACCATTCCTGGGTAAGGTGCCATTAGATCCACAGCTTTGCAAGGCAGCTGAAGAAGGCAAATCTTGCTTCATTGATCAGAAATGTGGGGTGAGTGCTCTTGCGTTGAAGAATATCATTGAGAAACTATTGACAAATCATTGGCGTGAAGAAATGGCTGTGGAACAGTAGCTTAGAGTGAATTAATTTTCATCTGTGGTGATCATTGTGGAATAGAATTTTTGTTTGCGTGTAATGTAATGTAATATTCTTCTTCCCGATTCATAATTTTGTGAAATTTTTCTGTGGGATGCAACACTTGCCTTATAGAAGTTCGTAAGGGAAGCAGTACTGTGGTAGTACTCTTTTAGGAGGCTGACGTGGCATGCACTCAGACGACTGTCATTGAAACTACTACCAGGACAGGCGAAACCATATAAACCCAAAGCCCAACTCCATCTAGGACTTTTTATCAATCCGACGGCCAATATTAAACAAATTGACATCAACCTGCATACGGACCGCACTGCCAAGTGTACAAAACGTTAAACGTATCAAGTTAACTACTTTAGGGAGAATGCAATAGTCTCGGAATGAGTGTGAACACGAATTTGAGTTTAAATCTTGGTACATCATAGTTGATATCAGGTCAATTTTAATTTAGATTCGATTTACATCAAATATTTAAAAAAAATGATAAAATGACGTTAGTGATGAAGATGTCGGTAGATTAAGTAGAAAAGAATGTCCTGTCAAGTGTTTTTTAAAAAAAAAATATATTTTATTTTATATTAAACAAATAAAAAATTTTAAAAAATTTATAAAGTTGAACATTATATATTCTATCAAATTAATTGTTTGAAAAAAAGAAAATCGTCTAGTGACAAAATGCTAAACAAACTTGAGTTAAAATTTCAACCTCGTTTCTAATTTCTCAAACACACGAATAAAGCAAAAAATAAAAATAAATACCTACTTAAAAGAACAAAAAGGCATGGTGATGAGGATGTAACCAATGAGACCCAGCATGTTACCTCACCACCTATGTGATATCAGATCGATTTTAATTTAGATTCGATTCACACCAAATACTTTTAAAGAAAAAATGAGTAAAATGATCATTAGTGATGAAGGTGTTATTAGATTAAGTGGAAGAGAATGTCATGTCAAGTGTTTTAAAAAAAAATAAACAAGATACTTCAATCTCATATTAAGCAAGTAGCGGATTTTAAAAAACTTATAAATGTGAACATTACATATTCTATCAAATTAATTATTTGAAAAAAAAAATAGTTTCGTGACAAAATGCTATACAAACTTGAATTAAAATCTTGACTCGGTTTCTAATTTCTCAAACATATAAATAAAGAAAAAATAAATATAAATACGTACTCAGAAGAACAAAGAGTCATGATGATCGAGGATGCAACCAATGAGACCCGGCATGCCACCTCACCACCCATGTGCCACCACCAAATAATCCTGGCCGCCGAGAGCAAGGGGTGTTGATTAAATTATCCATAGATTATGTAATCCAATAATGAAACAAACTTTGTTTTTTTAACCCAATTAATGGGTTCAGTTGGTGTGATGATTCCCCTACCATATGCATTCTTGTGTGAATCTGCCTATACAACCTAAGCAACAGAATAAAGCTTATTTAAAACAAGCAGAAAAGTCCAAATCAGAGCAACTTTCACCAAAGTACAAAATCAAACTAATTTTTCTTAAAAGCCATAGTTGGTTGCTTCACTTTACAGACTAACCTTCCAAATTTTTTACCTAATCCCTGCTAATGTCTTCTTTAATTGCTTAAGCTGTAAATTAAGACTTAAAATTGAAAAATTTCCTTGTCATGATCTTAAAATCCAAAAAAGATGGCACCCTTACTTCAAATACGTTGAACTTGATTAACAAGTGAATATATTTTCTATTTAGTTGACAAGTGCATATACTTTTCGCGTTATAAACTTATTTAGCGTTATAAAATTAATGTGATTGATTGCTCAATTTCATTAATGGGGTTTCTTTTCTTTTCTTTCTAAACAAATTAAAGATGACTTTTAAACAAATGAAGTAAATGCAGTAGCTAGCTCTCAAAATTGAAAGAGAGAGAGAGAGAGAGATGTAAGATTTTGATATATAGGGTGAGAGATGCTCTTTCCCTGCTGTGCTGAGCCTTCCTTTTGCTTTATTGTGTGAACCTTATGCAACATCTATGTAGCCATGCAAAGTCCTGGTCCCCCATACACCCCTTTGTGTTTTATACTCTTTTTGTTTCATCTTTCATGCTTGATGCTTACCTTACACAACAGAAACACAGAGAGAAAAAAAAAAAGAGAAGAAGAGAGAGAAAGGGAGGATGAAAGGGTCATCCAACTAAAGTTATAAAAGCCTCTTAAGGAGAAATTTTAGAAACTCTCACTAACCTGTCTGCATGTGGTGGCCTGGCGTGACCAATATTCAATTTCCTATTCTCCTTTGGGACCACTTTTGCATCTTTTCTCTCCTACCCTAAGCCTAATTTCCTACTTTTCAATGTCACAATGCTCTCATCTTCACCTGTTTCTCATAGTGTTTCTAACGATGCTTCATCAAATTACCAAAAAAGACTTCACCCACAAACTCTTCAGTCTCATGATTTTGCTATTTCCATTCAAACTAATAAGCAATAACTACCAGTCCATGACACAATCCACTACATGGATGAAGCAATAAATAATTAAAAAAATTAAAAATTAAATCTAAATCTTTATGTCTTGTTATTATATGATTTGCTTTGTACGTGAAATGCACAATTAATTCGTGACACAACAATTAACATTATATGAGTGTATAGGTATAGATAATTACTACCACTTGAAGTTCTAGTTCCAGCTTACATTTAATATAAAAGATAAGATTAGCATGCCAGCCTAG